ATCCTAGGTAGGAAATCTTTGGTCAAGCTTTTATTAAATGTCTATTAGAATAGAGTAGATTTCTGTCATCAATTTCATACTTTATATTTTGGTTGCAAAGGGACATCTTTTTATTAATATTGTCCTTAAAAAATGGGGGGTGGGGGGAGACCCCTCTACATTTCAACATCCCCTGGGACATTTTGCTTCATACAAGCGACTGTTCCTCTGACCAGCGCGGGCTTTAGGACACTGCTCTCCTCTCTCCAGTTCTGGCCGCCGCCGAAGCAGCAGCACCAGCGGCAGCACCCGCCACCGGCTCTCTAATTTATTGCAGCCGGTTACACTTTCGATCCCATTTCCTCCCGAACCCTTTCCTCTCAGGTTGAGGAGATAAATGCCGCCCGGGGCTGCAGGGCCGGGCGGGGTTTGCGGGTGGGAGCGGAGCCGGATATCACATTCCCTTGGTGAGGTCTGGGAGGGTGTGTGTGGGGGGGGGGGGGGGGGCGCGGATTCAGCCCCCCGGTTCCGTTTAATGAAATTGCTGAGCTCTTGTGACACCGGGCTCTCAGACTGCGGAAATGGGGCGGGGGTGGGGGGGATCAGCTTCTCGCCTTCATTCATCCTCCGCGAGTGGGCGGGAGGCTGGCGTGGGAGTGTCATTCTCCGGACTGGGGGGGGGGGGGGGGGGGGAGGCGGGAGAGGATGGGGAGCTCCGGCTGCTGCAAGGGCGCCCCGAGGTCTCCTCCTACCTAGCCCCCCACCTACCCCGCCCATTGCGTACCCTCTCCCCGAGGCCCCGCCGCCCGGCTCTGCAGCCGCGGTTCCTGGGCTGGCGCCCCGGAAAGGTCGGAGCTGGTGGGGACCCGCGGGGGAGGGAGCCCGGCCCGCAGGCTCCTGGCTCTGGCAGGCGGCCGCCTGCTCTCCATGCCGCACACGTAGGACCCATTTCCCACGCTGGCTCGGTGCGGCGGCCGAGTGGGTAGGGAGGAGAGTCGGAGGATGTGTTGGGAGGTGGGGGGGCTGGAAGCTCCCTCCGGCTCGCACTGAGAAAACCACTCCGCTGTGAAGGACGCTGCGCCCCGGGTCATCCGGGAAGAAACTGGCGCCCCCCTCCTTCCCCCTCTGCAGAGTGCGCGCTGGAGAGGGGGTGCATGTTTGAAGATGTTTCTTTTTTTTTGGGGGGGGAGGCTTGTTCAAGTTTATGGTCTGGTAAAGAATGAAGGCATGCACTACGTCTCTATCCACCCGGCTGCCTGAAGTTTGCAAAAACCTTAGGAAAGGGCGGCGGGGGGAGGGGGGGCGAGCACACTGCACCATATGGCCGCGCATCGGAATGCCCCCGTGCGAACCGCGGAGTGGAGGCTGCTTCCGTCTTTCCCCAGCGATCGCGGGCAGGGAAAGGGGACAGAGGGGCGTGTGCCAGGCGTCCTGGTAAACCGGGGTCTGCCAGATAGTAGGGGGATGTGGCGCGATGGCCCCTGAGCCGGCCGGGAAGGCGCTGCGGCGGCGCCCGCTCCCCCCCGCCCCGGCCCGGACTGCGGCGGAGCGCACTGAGCCTGCGCGCCGGGCTGTTCGCGCTGAGGCTGCAGATCCAGCCAGGGGTGCGGGTGCGGGTGCGGATGGAGGTGCCGGGGAGGCCGGAGGAGGAGGAGCCCTCGAGGGTTGCGGACGGGAAAATACTCGCCAGCTCCCTGCTGGCACACGCCACCCGCACTCCCACCTCCTCCGCGCCGCGCCGCCCCCCTCTGCCTCTTCTCTCCGCGCTCCCGCCGGCCGCGCCACCCCACACAGCTCCCGCCGCGGCGGCTCCTCGTAGACTTTACTGCTGTTTGTCTGGTTTAAACCACCCCGTCTCCTAACACGCGTCTCGTAAAGACAGAATACCCAACACGGAGGGATTTTTTCCCCCGGTTAGCTTTACATGTTCCGTTAAGGGAGGCCCCTTAGAGGATGCCTTAAGGGAGGCCCCTTAGCTTAGGCAGAGGAGCGGAGTAAGGACCAGCCACATCCCGGCAGCAGCCCCCCCCCCCTTTTTTTTTTCTCTCTTTGGGGAAGGTAAGAATTCTCCCCAGACATCTCCCACTTCAATCCCCTTCATCTCGGAGGGGCCCCCTCGTTTGATTGCTGCCGAAATCCATGAAGAGGAAGTGGGTCCAGGACTCAGACCGGACGCGGTGGGCTGCGGTGGCCGTGACCGCGTCCTGGGGAAGCCTCGCGTGGGGGGAGGGGGGCTGCCGTGTACGATCAAGTGGCACAAAGTCAAAAAGAGAAAAAGGAATAAAAGAATAAAAGGAGCTGGGGACACTCCAGCACACAAAGTTGCCATTCAAGTTTATTCCCCTTGTATCCAGATAGGTGACGCTACACTTTGCCAGTTACTAAAGGCTGCAGGTTTTTGCTCAGAAAAATAATCATCGAGGCTTCCAACATGTGTTTATTCCCTGGGCGCGCGCACACACACGGTTTACCATCCCCTCCCCCCCCCCCCCCAAAAAAAAAACACCAAAAAACAGCGCGGAGACAGGACAGCCAAGCATTTAAACAAAGACAAGCATCACCCTGCCCGCCCCGAAGCCCAGAGTCCACCCTCCCCATAACGGGTCTCTCTCCCGCGCTCTCTCGAGTTTTACGTTCTCTGGGAACCAGCACGGTTCTCATCACGGTTTCTCACAACACCAGCGTGGCTCCCCCAAGCCAACGATAACGGTCCCCCTGAAACGAGACGCTACATCGCAAAGCGGAGGCACTCCGTGGGGTGCAGAGCGGCCTCTGAGAAAGGGGGAGAGGAGGAAGGGGGATTGGTTCCAGACCCCAGCCAGCCCCCTCGCACACGCACCAGGCGTCAGAGAGGAATAAATTTACAAGCTCCGGGGGGGGGGGGGGGAGAGCCAGTCCCTCCAAGGAGACGGCGGCTGGGTGGTGGGGGCCTGGCTTAGGGGGACTCACTAGGATAGTACACAAAGTGCCTCCCCCCCACTCCCCTGGCACAGAAGCCGGGCTTTCCCCAGCCGCAGGCGGACTAGTGCTCCCTCCCGGGCCTGCCCCTGCCCCTCCCGCCTCCCCGCCTCCTCCCGGCGGGTGTGTGGCTCCAGCGCCCGGGCTGCCAGTGCCGCCGCCGCAGCGCCGGGGCGGGCCGAGCCGCCAGCCGCCGCCACTCCGGCAAACTTGCCGTCTCCGCGGGGCGGCGAGTGAGCGGGAGCTCCCCGAGCCGTTCCGTGTCTGACAGGCGGCGGGGCACCCGGGTTAGACTCCCTCTCAGACGCCAAAGGGGACGGAACAACTGCGGAATTCACCCTCCGTGCCAGGGCGCTTCCGAGGCCACGGCCGGCTGGCACTTTTCCTCCCCTTGGCAAACTGTTGGGGTGTGTGTGTGCGTGCGTGCGTGTGTGTGTGTGTGTGTGTGTGGTGCCCCCCCTCCCCCAGCTACTTGGCAGCTGCCTCCTGTTCCCCCTCCCCCTCCCCCTCCCCCTCCTCCCCGATGCCTCTGGCTCTTCTTAGGAAACCCGGGCAGCACTGGGCATCTCGGTGAATTGCCGCCGCCGGGGGGTCCGGCCGGAGGCTCTCGCCCGGTCCGCGTCGCTGGCACGCCGAGCCCGGCTCGCTCACCTCTGAACCGCAGAGGGATCAAGTTCAGCCGGAGTTGCCTGCATTGGGGCTGGATCGAGCCAACCGAGAGCGCAGGAGGGAGGGAGGGAGGGAGGGAGGGAGGGGGAGAGGGGGAGAGAGAGAGAGAGAGAGAGAGAGAGAGAGAGAGAGAGAGAGAGAGAGAGAGAGAGAGAGAGAAGGGGAAAGGGGAACGGAGAGGAGGGAGGAGGAGGAGTGAGGAGCGGGAGGGGGAGGGAGAGAGGGGAGGGATCGAGAGCGCGGGGAGAGAGAGAGGAGGCTGCAATCTCCTCCCTGAATCGCGCACAGCGCTGCAGATCCCAGAGCTCCGACTTGCGGGCCGGATGCAGGTGAGGGAGGCGCGGGCGCTGCGGCTGCGAACCCCAAACTTGTGCCCCGCGCGGCGGGCGCGTCCGGCGCAGCCCTCGCCCCCGCGGGCGGGCGGGCCGCTGCTGCGGTTCCAAGCGGCGGCTTCGTGACTAATGACCTTGCGCAGAGTAGTTAAGAGAGAAAAAGAGAGAGAAACAGCTTTCCGGGGCGAGAAGACACCGACTCTCCGGGCATCGCTGAGGATGGCTCGAGCTGCTCTGGGGCGCGCGGGGGGCGCCCGGGCGCGGACCGCTCCTTAAGGCGAGGGGTCCCCGCTGCTCGGCGGCGCCCGGAGCGACCTCCCGGGCGTTTGGCATCCTCTCTCCTCCGCGGACCGGCTCCCCCGCTGCCGCCAGCGCGGAGTCGGAGTTGAGACTGGCTTGTTGCTGACCCCGGCGCCCGGTTCGGGAAGCCACCCCGGGGTTGCCCGGGGGCTGCCGGAGCAGAGAAGCCGGGGCTGTGCCGAGCGAGGGACTGGAACGCGAATCGGACTCAACTCCGAGGAGGAGCAGCGAGGACGAGCAGAGGGTTTGGCAGGCGGGGAAGGCTGCAGGCTCCGCTGCCCGCCGCTTCCCGGCTCCACCGCCCGCCCGATCGCCTGCCGGAGCGGAGCGGCGCCGGCCCATCCGACCGACCGGGAGCCCGGGCTCCGCCGCCCGCCCGCCCGCCCGCCGCGGGGATGGCTCCGGGGGAGGGGGCGCCGGGCCCGCGGCGCGCAGTGTCCCGTGAACTGTGAGTACTGCGAGCGGGGCGATTAGCACCCATTGCGTGAAGGATGGAACAATAACTTTCGGAAAAGAAGCTGCAGGAAGAAAAAGAAAAAGAAAAGAAGCAGCAGAAGAAGAAGGATCTGTGGCTGGTTTCCCCCTCTGGCCGACTCTGAACACGCCGCGCTCGCCCCCTCCCTTCTCTCCCACTCGCTCGCTTCTTGCTTTCCGGGCGGAGAGGAGGGGAGAGAGGGCCGGGGGGGAGGAGGGCCGGCGCCCGGCCCCCCGCAGGAGGGGGGCGCCGATCAGAAGGCGCAGTAGCAGCAGCAGCAGGAGAAGATGCTGAGGATGCGGACCACGGGGTGGGCGCGCGGCGGCGGCGGCGGCGGGTGCCCGGGCTGCTGCCTCCTCCTCCTCCTCCCCCTCCTCCTCCTGCTCCTCCTGCCGCTTTCGCTCAGCCCGGCGGCCGCCAAGCAGCTCCTCCGGTACCGGCTGGCCGAGGAGGGCCCCGCCGACGTCCGCATCGGCAACGTGGCCTCGGACCTGGGCATCGTGACGGGCTCGGGCGAGGTGACGTTCAGCCTGGAGTCGGGCTCCGAGTACCTTAAGATCGACAACCTGACGGGCGAGCTGAGCACGAGCGAGCGGCGCCTGGACCGCGAGAAGCTGCCCCAGTGTCAGATGATCTTCGACGAGAACGAGTGCTTCCTGGACTTCGAGGTGTCGGTGATCGGGCCGTCGCAGAGCTGGGTGGACCTGTTCGAGGGCCGCGTGGTCGTGCTGGACATCAACGACAACACGCCCACCTTCCCGTCGCCCGTGCTCACGCTCACGGTGGAGGAGAACCGGCCGGTGGGCACGCTGTACCTGCTGCCCACCGCCACCGACCGCGACTTCGGCCGCAACGGCATCGAGCGCTACGAGCTGCTGCAGGAGCCGGGCGGCGGCGGCGGCGGCGGCGGCGGAGAGGGTCGGCTGCGCGCCGGGGCTGCCGACAGCGCCCCCTACCCCGGGGGCGGCGGGAACGGCGCGATCGGAGGCTCCAAGCGGCGCCTGGATGCCCCGGAGGGAGGAGGAGGAGGCGGCGGTGGAGGCGGCGGAGGGAGCAGCTCCGGCGGCCGCAGCAGCGTGTTCGAGCTGCAGGTGGCCGACACCCCTGACGGTGACAAGCAGCCGCAGCTGATCGTCAAGGGGCCGCTGGACCGCGAGCAGCGCGACTCGTACGAGCTGACCCTGCGGGTGCGCGACGGCGGCGACCCGCCCCGCTCCTCGCAGGCCATCCTGCGGGTGCTCATCACCGACGTCAACGACAACAGCCCCCGCTTCGAGAGGAGCGTGTACGAGGCCGACCTGGCGGAGAACAGCGCCCCGGGCACCCCGATCCTGCAGCTGCGCGCCGCCGACCTGGACGTGGGGGTCAACGGGCAGATCGAGTACGTGTTCGGCGCGGCCACCGAGTCGGTGCGGCGGCTGCTGCGCCTGGACGAGGCGTCGGGCTGGCTCAGCGTCCTGCACCGCATCGACCGCGAGGAGGTGGGCCAGCTGCGCTTCAGCGTCACGGCCCGCGACCGCGGCCAGCCGCCCAAGAGCGACAAGGCCACCGTGGTCCTCGTCATCCGCGACGAGAACGACAACGTGCCGTCCATTGAGATCCGCAAGATCGGCCGCATCCCGCTCAAGGACGGGGTCGCCCACGTGGCGGAGGACGTGCTGGTGGACACCCCCATCGCCCTGGTGCAGGTGTCGGACCGGGACCAAGGGGAGAACGGCGTGGTCACCTGCACCGTGGTCGGGGACGTGCCCTTCCAGCTCAAGCCGGCCAGCGACACGGAGGGCGAGCAGAACAACAAGAAGAAGTACTTCCTGCACACCTCGGCCCCGCTCGACTACGAGGCCACCCGCGAGTTCCACGTGGTCATCGTGGCCGTGGACTCGGGCAGCCCCAGCCTGTCCAGCAACAACTCGCTGGTCGTCAAGGTCGGGGACACCAACGACAACCCGCCCGTGTTTGACCGGTCGGTGGTGGAGGTGTACTTCCCCGAGAACAACATCCCTGGGGAGAGGGTGGCCACCGTGCTGGCCACCGACGCCGACAGCGGCAAGAACGCCGAGATCGCCTACTCGCTGGACCCCTCGGTGGCGGGCGTCTTCGCCATCGACCCGGACTCCGGCGACATCCTGGTCCACGCGGTGCTGGACCGCGAGCAGACGGACAGGTACGAGTTCAAAGTGAGCGCCAGGGACAAGGGCGCGCCCCCGCTGCAGGGCAGCGCCACGGTGATCGTGCAGGTGGCCGACCGCAACGACAACGACCCCAAGTTCATGCAGGACGTCTTCACCTTCTACGTGAAGGAGAACCTGCAGCCCAACAGCCCCGTGGGCATGGTCACCGTGATGGACGCTGACAAGGGGCGCAACGCCGAGATGAGCCTCTACGTCGAGGAGGAGAGCGGCCACATCTTCTCCATCGAGAACGACACGGGCACCATCTACTCCACCGTGTCCTTCGACCGCGAGCACCAGACCACTTACACGTTCAGGGTCAAGGCGGTGGACGGGGGGGACCCCCCCAGGTCCGCCACGGCCACCGTGTCTCTCTTTGTCATGGACGAGAACGACAACGCCCCCACCGTGACCCTCCCCAGAAACCTGTCCTACACTTTGCTGCCTCCCTCCAGCAATGTCAGGACGGTGGTAGCCACGGTGTTGGCCACGGACAGTGACGATGGCATCAATGCAGACCTGAACTACAGCATCGTGGGAGGGAATCCCTTCAAGCTCTTTGAGATTGATCCCACCAGTGGCGTGGTCTCCCTCGTGGGGAAGCTCACCCAGAAGCACTACGGCTTGCACAGGTTGGTGGTGCAGGTGAATGACAGCGGGCAGCCTTCCCAGTCCACCACAGCCCTGGTGCACGTGTTTGTCAATGAAAGTGTCTCCAACGCCACCGTGATTGACTCCCAGATAGCCAGGAGCTTGCACACCCCACTCACCCAGGACATAGCCGGCGACCCAAGCTACGAGATTAGCAAGCAGAGGCTCAGTATTGTCATCGGGGTGGTTGCTGGCATTATGACAGTGATCCTGATCATCTTAATTGTCGTGATGGCAAGATACTGCCGGTCCAAAAACAAGAATGGCTATGAGGCTGGCAAGAAAGATCACGAGGACTTTTTTACCCCCCAGCAGCATGACAAGTCTAAAAAGCCCAAAAAGGACAAGAAAAACAAAAAATCCAAGCAGCCTCTCTACAGCAGCATTGTCACTGTAGAAGCTTCCAAACCAAATGGACAGAGGTACGACAGTATCAACGAGAAGCTGTCAGACAGCCCCAGCATGGGCCGGTACCGATCCGTCAATGGAGGGCCTGGCAGTCCTGACCTGGCCAGGCATTACAAATCCAGCTCCCCATTGCCTACTGTCCAGCTTCACCCCCAGTCCCCCACCGCAGGGAAAAAACACCAAGCCGTCCAAGATCTGCCACCAGCCAACACATTTGTGGGTGCAGGAGACAACATTTCCATTGGATCAGATCACTGCTCTGAATACAGCTGTCAAACCAATAACAAGTACAGCAAACAGGTAAGATGCATCTCAGATAATAGTTAACTATCCCAGAGAAGGCTAACCATTCTGAGACAGGGCATCTTCTTCTGCATAGTGTGGTCTTTTTCTTTGAAGCTGTCACTTGAAATTTTAATAAAGTAGGAATGTAATGTGAATTCATACATCATTAACCTTGATAGAGGCCACCTATGCAAGGTGTAAACCACTGTGTTTGGCAAGTTACTAGAGAAAATATTCCAAGCAGGGAGTATTTTGTACTGCTCTTAGGCCTTGGCAGCCCCAATTCATCCTACATTGGGTGTTTCCAGAATAAATCTGTCTATATTGTTTGGATGGTTATCTGTAACCCGAAACCTTTGTGTGTGTGTGTGGCTACTAAGTGGAAAATTGCATCCAGAGATATTTTCTAAAGTTACTATTGGTGTCTATGCAACTTGGACACACTCTGATAAAAGTTTTAACTGCCTTGCCCATTATGCACATTTTTTTTTACAGATAAGATGCTGAGTCATGCAAATGTTGTGACAAGTCTGAGATTCAGAAGTATTGACCAAAAAAACGATGGTTTAAAAATATTTAGTGATGTGCAAATGTCACGCAAAACCACATTTTTTTTTAATACTTTGACATCTATACCAGTGAAGGCTGCTGTGAGGTTATGCAGTCAGCATTTGCATTCTTCATGTTTGACATTAAAAGTTTATAAGCAAAAGTACATTTTATGAACCACTTGTTTAAGCCAAGCAATAAAAGTGTTCATGTTTGGTGCACTGTGTGCAAGCATATTCTGGTATGCATTGTGCTACACCGAGACTATAAAGGTTATGAGGAATATTTGGTACAGTGAAACGTAGAAACAGTAAAAATAGTGCATGTTGAGGTTAACTTATAAATCACAAAGTTTACTTTTGAAGTTTTGCTTGTGTGATAATATGCAATACAAAGTTTACTTATTCTACCCACCAAAGTTTGGCACACAGCAAATAAAACCTCTTGGAAACTGCTGTGTCTAATACTGTAGCCTGTACATAGAGAACAGTAACTTAGTTGCTGTTGTTATCTACTGTGAGTAGATAATAAATTAGGTAACAAATCACAGATTTCTTAACTTCAGGATGCATCTCAAGAAACATATGACTGGCAGAGACAATCAAGTAATAGTTTTTCTATTAGATATGCTTTGCATGTGGAATGTGTGACCTGAGGAAAATTAAGGCAAAGGAAAAAGTTATTTTATAGCCTCATAAAATGTAGCTATTTAGATAAGGAGACTCAGAGTTGATATTCTGTGATATTCAAAAATAAAAGCAATCTAAGAAAACACAAGTTTGATCTACAGATAGGCTTTTGAAAATAGGTCTTTAAAATAGGTCTTTTAATGCATATGAGCCTGAGTTATTTACTTCTTTTAAATTGAAATTTGACATGAAGAAAGTTTATATCTGTTGTGTCCTTGCTTTTATGGAGTTAGAAGCAGATTTTTGTTTTGTTTTTTGGTGCATTTACTTATTTATTTATTTATTTATTTTAGCAAGGACAATAACAGTTAAAATAATAATAGTTTTGTAAAGTTGCTTACAATATAAACACAAATAGAGATCTGTAGAAGTTTCCCCAGGAAATGGTACTTTGTCATGCAAAAGCTTGTGAAGAGATCTTAGGGCAGAGTATTTACTATTCAGCTGTCATCCTAATAGGTCTTTTTGTCTTGTGGCTGATGGCATTTGCATTCTAAATGGTGGACTCTTAAACTTTTGAGTTGACATATTCCTGGCAGATTTATAGATTTTTTTTTTTTTTAAATGTAACCACCTCATACATTCTGTGCTGTCACTTAAGCTTTGTTTGGCTCATCAAATGGGGTTAACTCTATATTCTTGAATATTTAAAACAGCCAATATCAAGACTGTTGTGGCATCCTGTTTAAAAGGCAAAGTGATATGCTTATAAATAAACTAATGTATGGTGTTAGTCTCCTAGCTGAGCAAAAAAACTCCCATACCTTACAAAACCATTGGAATAAACCATGCAGTTTGCAGAGAGTGACTTTGGAAAACTTGTGTGCATTAGGTATTCAACAGATGTATAACGTTTTAACCACAATAAATAGCTGACCTAAAATGAAGTAAAGGAGAATGGAATAGTTCCCCTTAATGTAATTAGTAATAGTAATTGATACACTTCATCTCCATATTGCTGTCAGGGGACAGGGATCCATTTACAAAGTTGCTTTCTGCTTAGACCTCTGACATAATCAACAGGATCTTTTTTTGTTCTGATTTTTGTTTGTCTCTCTTTATTTTAAAAGGGGTATTATCTTGAGTTTTCACACAGTGCCCAAAGGTATTTCCTTTGATTAAACCCGACATAGAATAAAATTTTTAAAATGACACAGGGTTTTCTTATCATTTCCCCCTTGCATGTTGAATCTAGAGGCTTCCAGTCTTTTCATTCCTTATGGGAACTATATTAAAGATCTGAGATTTCATCTGACATAAAGCCTTCGTTTTATTTATAATTTTCCTAAATTGCTTTATCATAGTTCTAAATTGCTTTATCATAGTTCTTTACTTGATATTGTAAAAGTGATGTCTGTGACAGTGTTCATATCTTCAGGAGAATTGCACATTTTGGAGCGATGCTCCAACCCTTCTTACTGGTCATATCAGAATGAATTAAACAGTATAATAGGAATAACAGGTTGTAAATAATGCCCCCTCTGTCCATTTTTGGTATGTTTTCACAACTCTAGAGACATTCAAAGGAAGCTTCTATAGTTCCTCTTGGGCAGAAGCTAGAGAGATTTGTGTGGCGGAGTTACTGGAATTATTTCAAAAATTCACTCATTAGGAAAACTGATGATGTAACTAACCTCAGGTTTTCCAAGGTTAGACCTTTGCAGTTGAAGCCCTTGGTTTATACTTTATCTAGTTGAGTAAAATGTGGACCATTGACCACGTTATTGATATTAAGTGTCCACCTTTCCATTTCATTCTTCCTTTGCTTGATAAACTTGGTCTTGGCGGTATTAAAGTTTCATGACCTGGAAATACAGCTGTGTTTTTAATTTGCAAAATAAAGGCAGACACATTTCATTCTTAAATCTCCAGTGTTTCACTGTATTAAGTAGCTTTTTCAGCTTTCTTTAGAAATTAACATAATTCCAAAATATTAGTAGACAGATATAAAAGCATCTTTATCACTTTGCTTATTATGCGTAAGTCCTACTGAGCTCATCCTGGTTATGCTGTTACTTAGACAATGCCCTGGCAAGTAAAAAGTTTATGGTATCTAGTAAGTAGCAAGTTAGGTGCTTAATTTTTTGGCAAGAGTATAGAGGATACAGCTTCAGTAAACATTAATTTAAAAATCCATTGTAGCTGATTCTGAAATACTCAAAAAGAAAAATTTATATTAACTCCAATGACACTTTTCCTTCTCAAGGAACTGCTGAATGTAGTCTGTAGAATGTTCTCTTTAATTGATCAAATTGTGCTCACGATTCACCCCACACTTAGGAAAACATATGGCAGAAATTGTATATATTTTTTAATTACTCTGATTTTGGAAACAAATGGATGAAGTGGCTTGCCATAATCTATGAAGAGTTTAAACATTGGAAGACAAGTATCAATTTGTGTATGGATGTCTTACCCTCTGCTATACTGTAAATTCATCTGCAGAGTGATGCTAACCACAGCTTCCAGTTTTAATTCATAAGCATACTTTCTACATTATGGTTCTCCTATCTAGAACCAAGGCAGCTACCCACATACAGTGAGATTCCTGTTGCCTTTGGCTTGATGTCATAGATAGGAAGCTGGCAACTGAGGGAGGCAAGGCTCTTGTTAGCCAGGAGGTATCTACTGAGGATGTCTGGGTGAAACAAGGAAAAGGGTCATCAAGGATTGGATCTGCAATGAACATGCCCATTTTTGTGGAATTCTAAGTATGCCAATTTGAACCCTACTCCAAACCTATATGAAGTCCACAAAGTTAATTGAAAGATTTTTAAGTAAATCATCACCTGGGTCAATTTAGCCAAACCATCCTTTCTTGTTCTCGCTCTGTCTTTGAGTAATTACATATTTCATATATGTAAAAGTGTGCATATAGTATATATCAAAATCTCTCTTTCCGTCTCTCCACCTTCCCCCTCACAAACACATACAGATGTATTCATAGAAAACAATTATGGTGTCATTTGACTTATTGTGGTATTCATACATTAATATATGGAAAATATTTAAAATTTAAGCACACACAAAACCAAAATAAAATATGATCAACCACTTAATGTTTGTATCTAAAATTCACTAGTCATCACATTTCAAAATTTAAAAACTTCAACTAAACCTGTCCCTTCACTTTATAGAAGAGGAGACTAAAGCCAAGCATGGAAAAACAACTTGATTTAACTTGATAATTACACAACAATCAGGATACAATGTGGATTAGAGTCTAAGTTATAGACTACAGAGTCCAGTGTTATTTTTTTCCCTATTCTCATACCACCTCTAGTCGGGGGGAAAATTGAGTTTTTTTTATTTTCTTTGTATATATTTCAATAGGGTCAGAAACCCACTGAGATTTACTTATCTATGTGTAACTATATATATTTAGTATGTAGCCTGACATTTTAAAAAATAGACTGTCATTCTGCTTTAGGCTCTAGCTTTCACTTATAAAATTGTCTGGCAAATTGTATTTCACATTTTATAGATTTTTACGAAGACATCAGTATTTCTTTTGCATGTATGGAAGATGGCAATTGCTGACATACACTAAAGGAACTTAGCAAGGTTTACAACATATAGACAACAAGTTAATTGACAGAATTTTTAATTTCTGCCAGAACAGTAACAATAGGTGTAAGTACCTAGCTAGCATTTAGTACATCCTCAATAAAATGTCTTTGTAAAGGACGTTATTGAAAGCTTTCTTCTATACATTATGTATGAAACGTTGTATGCATTCTGTTTGGGATCACCTTTGACCTTTTCCATCTACACCGA